ACTAAAATTATTAAGTATTGTGACTAAAATAGGTACTTAATACAATACAACAAATATTTTGCCTTAAACGAAATAAGTTTATATAAGCGTTAGCTTTTAGTATGAAGCGGGGCTTACGAGCGATATTACGGTGTATTAAGTTGCTGGAGTAAATCTTCCCGCTAGGCAACGGGCTTAGGAGTTTTATTGTCATACAACAACCGGCTGGTTAGCTGGCATTTTCTTAAGATGTCACTTCGTGAATCTCTTATTTATTTTTTAATTATGGCGTAAAATTTTAATTATTGCCATTATTTTGGCATGAACATTTATCAGTGTTTTAATCATGATTATATCTGAAAGCCACTGCTGCCCATTGTAGTATTTCAACCAATTCAACTTAGGGTCCTTCAAGGAAAGAGCGTACCTATTCTTAACGCCTGCAACGCACTTGCGAGCCTCCTTGCAATGTGAGAGTCCATGGACGGCGGTATCACTTAATAAGGTGAGCCTCCAGCCCGTTAGCCGTTAGGTATATAAAAGAAAAAAATTTAAGGCAACAGTTTTATAATTAATTAAACTGTACTATTAGTTCTCTTTTTCTTCCTTACACATTTCATTTTCACTAAGTCGTAGACATCTCAAAAGAGAAATCTTTAAATAAAATCTTACGGAATCACTTTATTCAGAGACGTCCATTTCAATTTGAAATTGCAATCAATATTTGCGTCTTATAAACTAAAAAAGTGGAACAGTACATTGGAAAAGAGTCACGATAGTCGTCTAAATCAAACAAATACATAAATGGTAATTAAAGTAACTATTCTATGGCAAATATAATATTTTAATAATAATAAACTTTGGTTCAGCAACTGCTGGATTGCAGCTTTCATAGTGAGAAGTATTTTCCGTATCCTTTTGGATAATCATTATCTTTATTTCCCGGGAAAAGTGGTCGTAAGACACATCTATTACCAGTATACTTAGCGTGTAATAAATTACTTTATTACAGGAACGTCATAATCCGTGGTTAACTAACATAAATGCGCGGGGAAGGCAGTTTGTTTAGATTAAAACTTCATACTTTGATATTAATTATGGCTTATATTTATAACGTTTATGACAGATGACTTTTTACGCGCCTAAATATTTCGACTGAGCAAAATTGTATGACGCGTGAAGTCAATTCCTTAGAATTTTCATTTAACTGAATTTATAAACTATTTTTGGTTATAGAATCTTTCTGCTTCAATATTTACGCATAAATACATTATATATTTGTTTGCACCGACTGTTTACAACACAACATGGTTGGTTTTATTTATTAATAGAATTTTGCCGTAATTTGTGCGTATTGTAGACACCGTAACTTGCTCGCCCAGTGACCTGACTGCTAATATTTTTTTTTAGGTATAGTTAAATTAATATGAACATGGTTATGCAGATCAATTTTTTACAGAACAGGGGTCAAACAGGCGGGAGGCTCATATGATGTTAAGTGATACCACCGTTCATGGGCTGGCAGAAGGCTCGCAAGTGTGTTGTCGGATAATGCCGGATTATGTAATTGAACAAGTACAATCAAAAATAATAAGGTATGTAAGTGTACGTAGATTGATATGCATTTTTGATCCAATATTACTAAAACAAACATTGAGTTTCTTTATTTCTTGTTACATCCCTAATCGTTATTGTAAGTAAAGTTTTGTATTTATATTACTATACGTAAAAATCTGAACGTAAAATCTTAATCAACATTGATCCAGTGGCCTATGAAAGAAGTTGTCACAAAGGCATCTTCGTATTTTATTTAATAGAGATTTTAGTTCTTTGTTTCGTGTTTTTCTATGATGCATGAGGTATTGTAGGGTACATTTAAGTACGCAGTTTTTGTGTTAGATCACTTGTTATTAATCGTCTTATTAATACAATGATTCATCCAATTATATGGTGGACTAGTTATTATTATATATCAGTATAGTTAGTTAGCTAGCAAGTTATTATTATATTATATATAAGTACCAATTTGATTTGGTCTTTTTTATTAAAAGAAAATGTCTTATTTATTAGGTGGTAAGAGTAAAAATATTAAATTGTACACCTTACATACTCAACTTCTTGAAATTGGTTTCAAATCTACATATTTCAAAGAAATTTTTTTTATCAAAGATATTAAGACGGGTTTTGTTATGACTAACAATTCATTTGATATAAAATTAACATAATTAGTATAACATCACTCAAGGAGAGATAAGAAAAAGATGAGTAGACGATCAAAGAAACATTATACGCGAGTCGGAGTTGAAAATCTCCTGCTAATTGGCTTAATCCACATAACATGATACTCAAAGGTTTTTGTATAAGACGCTGCAGTGATGTTTTCATTAAACCACTTGTTTTTATGCTTTGTATTATTTAACTGTCTTAATAAAAGCTACCTAATATAAACGCATTTTAATATAAAGTAATAATTATTGCAAGGTTAACCAACTTTGTCTCGAATATGCCAAGCTATTCTACGAGTGATTTGGTCTTACTTTGGTCATGTCAGACACATCCAGCTTTTAGAAATAAACAAAAGAGGGCATCCGCAATGTCTACGCAAACACTTCTATACTAAAATACTTGCTACTTAGATCACTAAAAAAGTCCGCCGTGGTCAATTACTTAGTACTAATATTCACCGCAGGCTGATTGCCTATTAAGAAAAACACCAAATAGATACAGAAATCGGAAACCTGGAGATTGTAGAGATTGTAGCGCCGCTGGTTAATTATCATCAATGAATCGGCCGGGGCCCTGACACTGGTTGTTTTCAACTACTTACATAAGTATAAAATAAATAAATTAGTGGCACTACAACCTCTTTAGTTCTTGGCCTCAGATTTTTGAATCTGTTTCATGATCATTTTTTAAATCTAATAGGCAAGTAGGTGATCAGCCTCCAGTGCCTGACACACATCGTCGACTTTTTGGGTCTAAGACTTGTCGGTTTTCTCACGATGTTTTCCTTCCCCGTTCGAGCAAATGTTAAATGCGCACATAGAAAGAAAGTCCAATGATACACAGCCGGGGATCGAACCTACGACCTCAGGTATGAGAGTCGCACGCTGAAGCCACCACTGCCAAGGCCAACACTGCGCACTTACATAAGTATTATTTATATATGTATGTAAAAAAAAAATGTAAAAAAAATGTTATTTATAGTATAACCTTTACAGAGTATGTTACACTGCGCTTTTCTGTTGTTTTGCTCCCCTAAAACGAAGTGGCGCAGGCAATAACAAGTATGTCACATGAGCAATTATTAAAAAAACTTTGCTAAACAGCGTGCAATAAGTTAATTATTAATATGTATAAGCCGAATTGATGAGAAGTACGATAAAGGATTCACAAGATCGAAGACGACAAAGACTAGATATCGCAAGTCGGAACTTTGACAGGTGATTTGGGTCTGCCGGACTCCACCGTCGTCTACAAACGGTATCTATTGACACACGGTAGTCAATTGTACGAAACGACGATTAAAATTGATTGTATATTAATATTGCAGACTGGTTTTTGCTAGGCGCTTACTTTTTGGTGAGTTCTAAAATTGTAGTTTATTCGTGACAGTTTTATATTGTATATTTTATTGTTCGTATAACAAAATGTATTTTTTTTGCTTCACTATTTTGTGAATAGTCTAGGAAAAAGTATAGGCATGAGTACTAAAACAAAAAGTTTATTTTTTAATTTTGTTATTCTAGTAATAGCTCCAGCACTCTTGCTAAGAGCGAAACAGAAATCTGTTTACTAGAATATAAAAAAAGATTTATATGTTGTAAATGGCTACCATATGTTCCTATGCATGTTTATTTATTAATTCACCTTGGGTGAAGTTAAAGGCAACGTTTCACTAACTTATATACAATAGTAATATTATTTAATTAAGTTTTTATTATTCTACTATAATTGTTTAATTATTTTAATAATTCTCAAGTAAACTTCTTTTGTGTAACTAGTCATTGTGTAACAAGTCATTAGCAAGACTTTTTACGGATGTTTAACAGTAGGATTTATCAATAAAATACCAAGTGATAGTATCATATTATGTAATATTTTAATCAATAAATTTTTCGTTTATACTATAATTGAATGGGATAAACATTTAGCCAATAATCATACAAGCTGTAATAAATGCTGTCTGTGAGCCTAATGACTTAAATTTAGAAAAGATCTATCGATTCTTCTAGATTAAATAAAAATCTTCCTGCTGATGTAACCTTAACAATTAAATACATTTGGATCATCACAGCTCCACAAAGCATAACATCAAAACAAAACAATTTACCTCTATGTCTTTAAAACTATAAAACAATATATGATTAAACTGCGAATAGTTTCAGCCGATAAATGCGTAAATACTGTAACAGTAACTTGACAAAGAAACCGGGATTTGAACCAATGGACTAGGTTCAACATTCATGTAAGCGTATATACATTTATACCTAGTTTGACAATGTCTAGTTTGGTATAACATAGCCTTAATCTAGTCAATCTTTGGATTGAGAATGCTTAATTTAAGGAATGTGCGTATTCTATAACTTTGTAGACTTTACAAGTAACGATATAATAGAACGTATTCTACATGTGCGATATATTCTAAAGCATATTGACTCATTACACTAAATTTAGTATGTTCTAAGTATATATAAACACGAATGCGTGAGATTATTCGCAATTTGCTTCTATAAAATAAAATTTATTTCAATTTAATAAATAAATTATATTACACACATATAACTTTATTATTGTACAATATATGTTTGAGATTCAAATTATGGTGTATGAGTTTATTTTACTCACTACAAGCGAATGATTTTAATTTACAATGTATCGCATGGTGGTACAATGAAACAGTTTTGCTAATAATAGTCGATAATACGTTATAGTATGCACAATGCAATAACTAATACTAAAATGGCACTACACACCATCAACGCTTTTATTCAGTCTTTCTAAAATGACACAATTCTAATTCAGACCATTTTCCGCTCTGCCATAGCGTGTGGATGACCTGGGTGCACATAATGTCCTGGAGAAGTTGGCTCGTACAGGGACATCTTCAGCCTCTTACACTTTGCTCGTCGGTTCTTGAACCAGAATTGCACATTTTTCGATTCAAGTCTCGGAAATTTCTGTCTGTATGGCATCCTGTTTAGTTCTTCTGTGTACTTTATGATGAGATTGTGTGACGGGTGTGTGTTCATCGAAAACCACTGCTCAAGAACGGGGACTTCTGAAACGGGATCTATAAAGGTTCGGTTGCGTTTGCGTCTTTCTTCTGATGCTCCTGCTAATGCAAGGTTCAGACCGCTAGCGCCTTCACCGGGGATCGGGCTCACGCCTGGAAAGCCACTCATATATTGGCTCATGTACATTATTCCATGGCTGAACATTGGGTGATTTGGTACCATGGGAAATGGCAGCCGATCAAGGTGTGGAGAAGCGGGATGGTAATGCCGCTCTTGATTAACTTCATCGTCTGAAGCCAGGTCTTGCTCATCATTAACGCCGTTTTCATCTTCATTATTATTGTTGTTATTGTGCGAACTGTCGCTGTTCTTGGCCGGTGAACGCTGGGGCGAATGTAGCCGTTCTGATTTCGTAAGGTCCCGTGGCTCTTCTTTGATGTCGTGTTCCTGAAAAAAATACAGTAATTTGTTTATACAGATCTCATAGTCTAGAGTTTATTAGTGTTCTTACTACTTAATAATTAACTTGCTGTCAATATTTATACAAAAATGAATTTGATGTTAAAAATATTACCTTGATAATATCAGGTGGTTTCGGAGATTCCTTGAAGGAGTCATCTTTATCATTCTCATTGTTGTTTTTCTTTATCGTAATAAGGGATAAAGGTGCATCTGGACTCTCTGGCCTATTGTCCGTGTTCATGTCAACACCATCGTCTTCTAAATCAGATCCAGCGTTTGACAGATTATCTTCTGACATTACTGACATGGGGTACCTTCCAGGGCTGCCAGACAACTGACCCATTGGGCTTTTTAATATATTGTGATCGTGGGGTGAGTAATTTTCATTGCCGACGAGTAAAGAACCATTCGATGGGCTGTGACTTCTGCTGTTAAATCCATTCATACCGAGATGACTTAAACCACTAATATTACGTAATTCAGCACGTTTTTGGGCTGCTCGAGCGTTCTTGAACCAGTACACAACATTGTTGACATCTAATGGTTTTCGACCCCTCCTCGAATCTAAATTATTTAACTCGCGAACATACTGCTGTATCTGCTGTCTACTGGGGTGTTGGTTTTCCGAAAACCAGCGCTGTAGTTTAGGTAACTCCAGTTCAGGGTCAAAACTCGTTCTCATTCTAGTTTTCTGTGTTGGGTATTGACTTTGAACAGTCTGAAGTGCTGGATGCAAATGATCAGGGATTGTGTTCAAAGTTGGAGATCTCTTTAGTCCTGGAGAAGGATAGCGCCTAGGGCTAAATGGAGGTGGCCGCGGAGAAACTTGGGCACTCCACCACGACTCAAACTTTCTGCGAGTTTCTTCCGTCGGTTCATGGAATATATGCGGACCAGCAGACCTATCTTGCCCCCGACATATTTGCGCCAACGTCACCTACAACAATAAGAAAAGTATTTCAGGTCTCACGCTACCGGTACCAAAGTTTGTACAACTTATAAAAAACAAAAAGATACCGCAAACAATTTTAGATGGTTTTAAAGAGGTCAGTCTAACCAGTAACAGATACAGAGATAATTGTTTGAATAAACAGTGAGCATTGTTTCACAGAACATCGCCATTAGATTATGAAAATATTAGGCCGGTTGTTAATGTATGTGTCATGCGCGCGCGGCTCGCTGCGGCAACCGCGGTGTTTACTCGGTGGTTAGTGCGCATCACTCTACAGCGCCGAAACTTCAATCATGGTTTGCTCTAAAACAATGAGCGGGTAGGGCGTCTATACAATTAGCGTCCTCCCACAACTCCTTAGCAAAATGCCGGCAAACCGACTTAACTAAGTGCTTGTACTAAAATGTTCCACCGGCACCGAAAAGTGTACAAATAAGGTGATTCGAAATTTGTTTAAGTTACACAACTATGCATCATATACATCTTGACGTTGTTTGGTTACGTATTTTACTCGAGAAAATCATATATCTTGTGAGATAATTTAATTGTTTAGATTTCTAGATATGCCAGTAAAATCTCTTGATGTCATAAGATTACATTTTGTAATTATATCGAGAAACATGCAGTGTATTAAATAAAATCTCAGTATGGAATAGCTGTAAGTATTACAACACGGTATGTGTTAATTCATGTCAAGCTGAAGTTAGCGAGCGCATGAAGCGTTAATCCACTTCTTTGTTTTGTGTTTTTAAATAGTGCAGTCATATTTGCTTTAAGATATCGTTCGCTTTAGAGATTTACTAGAGCTGGCGCCTGTGATAGTCCCGTCAGGTGTCAACGGCACGTAATTCGGTGTGTGATTGCGAACATCGCTACTACTAGTTGCTTAGGACGAGAAGACAATAGGCTTAGTCTTATCTGATATTAATTTGATTCTGTTAATATTTGCTACTTTACACCTGTCAGAATTAGAGGAGATAACACATCTCAGAGATATCATTAAGAAGTATTTTACGAACCGCTTGATGCCAAACCAAACAGTTTCAAGAACATTGTAAAAGTTTGTTGCGAATGGAAACTCTAGCAAATTGCGATAAATTACCATAATATTATAGAGTTCATCTGGCGTTTAACGCCAAGTTTCTACTGTTTGATTATCTTGCGCCATTGCGATTTCCTTTGAATCATTTGTTTCAACTTTAAAACTTGTTCATTCATTTGTCTTAAGTATTAAACTGTCTCTCGGAAATCGAAAAGTTGTGATCATTTCATTGCATTAAAAAAAGTTTTTGTGAAATTAGCAACAATACACAATTAAGTACAATTTAAATAAATTCTCTAACCTATACTTTCACAGCATAAATTTCAGTATTATTTTTTAGGAATCTAATATAAATTCCGCATTCTCGGTTATAATCATCACTAAAAGCGCTAAATTGAAATCTCAACCTAATGCGTGAGGGAACGCTTCTATCGCTAACCTCGCGCTTTAATAAGATTATAAGGAATTATTTTATGGTATTAATAAGATCAAAAGCGTACGTCTAAAACTCCTTTTAACCCTCTTTTGCTTGAATCGAGGGCCCGTCTTACAATACAGCGGGTGTGGGTTGTTGTATTTTATGTAATTTATTGAAGAAAATTAATATCTAAAGCGTTCCGACATCTTATCCGCGATGTTAAAGGTAGCATTGAAGAATATCCCTACTAAATCATGCATAATTAGGAGATATTTTAAAATCTATGTACCTATTACTAGCTGACCCGGCAAACATTTGTTTTGCAATGTATATTATTTCTAGGATACATTTTTTTACTCCAATAAAAATAACTATGTACAATAATAAAAAATAGGGGTTGATGGTAGAGGGGTGAAAAATAGGGGTTGTATGTATTTTTGTATGGAGTATCATAAAAAAATTAAAAATTAAAAAAAATTAAAAAAAAATTGGGGTGGACACCCTTTATCACTTAGGGGTTTGAAAGATAGATGGTAGCCGATTCTTAGACTTACTGTTAACTTACTATTTCATAAATCGGTCGAGCTGTTTCGGAGGAGTATGGGAACAAACATTGTGGCACGAGAATTTTATTATATTTTAGATTACTAAAATAAATAAAATAAAAATTTATAGTTTATTATTGTGGCCTTTTTGTTGTAACCTGTTAAAATCAGTTTATTTTGTTCCTCCGATAATATAGTTAAAAGCTCTCGTAATAAGCCTTAAGCTTTTTGGTATTAAAGATATTTATATAATATAATAAGGCATGCGCGGATGAGTCTCAAACTCAATTAAATATGTATGAAGATCTTGTAGAGACATTATACCTTTGCATCGGGATCTAGATTACGTAATGATACATTACTTTTCTGTATTGTTGAATATTTATTGTAATTTGCGACACGATTTTTTTGTTAAAGTTACTCCTTGCATGTAGTTATTAATGCATATATACATATTACACAGATATATTTTTTGTGACATTATTAATTACATTATACTTTATTGTAACTATTTGTACAGTAAACAAAGCTTTTTCTATCCACAATGCTGAAGATTCGTTTGTTCTTTAACTGTCTTTTGTTTTTTAAATTAATGAATGAATATTGTAGACGTTTGAAATGTTGTTTTTTGAATGTTACGCTAATAATTTATGAATAGATAGTATTAATAAACAAGTATAGTAAACATAAAATAATCTTACACGGAAAACAAGCGCGCTTTCTTCCCACTGATCCTTATTAGAGTCGACTTAGGCGTTACCTTGTAAATTATAACGAGCCCCAATACGCGAGTCTACTTAACAAGACTTTGATAATCTGTCTCCATCACTCAGATGAGCTCCTCATTTGTATGTCAAGTAATTGTTAAGACGACTTAAAATATTATGTTAAGACTTACGAGTTTTTGATGTTTTCTACTTGTTAATGTCACGAAAATGGTAAAACATTGTGTCGATATTAACAAGTACCTATATAGATAGTTAATCTAAGATTATCATTCATTTTGGAATTTTATTATAAAGTGCATCAAACAAAACTATTGTCTTTGCTATAAAAAGGTTAAATATAAAAAAAATATATATTTTGTGTTCTTAACTGAAAATGTAGACATGTTTATTTTAGATTTCAAAATATCCATTTTAATTATTATTTTTATTACTGTGTTAGTTAAGAATATTTTCAACACTCTAAATGTGTATAATATTAATATTATAAAACTTCGCCTACATAACTAAATAACCATAGTATATTTCTACAGGCCACCACGACTATTTCTCACCGATTTTTAATTACAATAAAACTACTTACCCTATGATTTAATGGATATTCTATTTGTAACTAACACGGGCCGATAAAGCATATGCATAATATAGTTTTGCATCACTGTAAGCAAGCTACGACCAAAAAATGAATTTAAGCCTGCGTTCATACTCACGTTCTTACAGGTGAAAATCGCGCGTGTATCTCTACAGACTACACTGTCCGTGATTTCAATTAAATAATCGATAATATTAATAAAAGTGTGATCGCATTTTATCTAATTAATTAAAATTAAAATAATAATTTACCTAGCAAATATTTTCAATGTGGCTGGAGTGCTATTCAGTTGTGGGCTTAAATAAAACAATGGGTTTCCAGTAATAAGGGGTGAAAGGGGGTTCATTGTATACCGATCCGGGGTTACAATCAGGTATTAAAACGTAACATTACCAGGACAGTGGAAATCTGGATGAAGCCAGTGTAGCGTGACCGTATTGTCGCCGGTTTGGTTAATGCCTCGTTTGATGTTATTCGCTATGACAAGTGTTTAGATTATGTGAGATATTGTTTATTATAAAAAAAAACATGTAAAAAATGTACAAAAAAACAAGAGTCTTTTCTTATTTAGTATTATTAGTACTGACTTGTCTTACACTATAACTCATATACTCGTAGTACTATTGACTGCGTTGAAGGTTTAAACATATCATAATTTTTACATTAATTTCAAGGTTACAATTGTGATTCAGGTCTAGAGTACAAGGGCCAAGGCGTCAAATAATATCTGAAGTGTAATATTCTTTAGACAAAGGATTTGTTCTAATCTTAATTAGATAGCTGAAGTACCAATTATATAATAATAGTATTGATTAAGTTTAGGGATTATATTACAATATATTAAGTCTGGTAATGGTAGTTATAAAATTTAGAAACATTTAAATAATGACTTGATATTAAAGAACGCGTTATAATAATTTGGTACTTACTTTATGTAACTCTACTGAATATATATCTAGGACAGACAATACTTTAGGACGATAAAATATGTGAAAAACCACCCTTACCTCATCTAAAGGGCATCCAGTGGACATCAGCAATGGTCGACTCTGCACCAGGAGAAGTCTCAACAATTTGTCCTTGATGTCTTGGAGCGGTGTGAGCCGGGGTCTCAACAATTGGATTCTGAGGGTGGCCACTGTGGTAAGTTCACCCAAAACTTCACCAACAGTCGCCAGAGGACCATCTGAGATTCGCTCGAAGGGCAGCGGCTTCCAATTGTTTATTACTACAGATCCTGTTAATACATTTAATAATATTTAAGTAAAAAAAAGGAATTATAACTCCAAAGTAAGTAAGTAAGTACATTGAATGTACTTACTTACTTATCTCATTTTGAGCGATATTCATGATTTCAATTTTAAAAAAATATTTTATTTAAATACTTTTGTTGTGTGTTTAAAAACCTGGAACTTCCCAGTGAACATGTAGATGCAGAAATAAATTTTGTTTCACCTGTTATCGAACCCAAAAAGAATATACCCATACTAGCATAGTTGATTTATCTTTAATATATTACTTGAATATGTGTTTTTATAAATGAAATTTTAGCGTGTATTATATATACATATTAACAAAATATACCTTTAGCTGAGGCAGCCAATTCGTGTGGATATCCGAGTCTCATCATGGCGGCTGGAACCAGCTCATGGAAAGCGGTAGCTGCTGGAATGATGACGTAGCTGTCAGTCTCAACTACCGTCCGTCTTCTCCATGCACCTTCCTCCAGAGATGATACTGCTTCCACCACACAGTGGACTGGTAGTGTCTTACCTATAACAATAAAGTATGCATGAGATTATAATGAAGATGAAAAAAAGCGGAGAAGTAAAGTCCGTTTATTTATTTTGCAAAAAGGTTTGCGTTACAAATTACTTGCAAATTTATATAAAGTTCAAACACAAACACCTTCTAAATAATTGTTAACAAGTCACACGAGCGTATTAAATTAAAAATCCCATCCTAATTGCCTCAAACCAAATATTTCTTTTAAAAAGAATTGTTAAATTCTATAAATACGAAAGGTTTAGGCCTGGTAATATTCACGAGTAGTTGTATAAGAGCTAAGGCGTTTGAACTATATAAAAAAATAATCAGTGGCACTACATTTGTGGCACCACCTTTTTGGGTCAAGCCGGTTTCCACACGATGTTTTCCGTCCGTTCGAGCGAATGTTACATAGAAATAAAGTCCATTGGTGTGGACCAAGTCGGAGATCAAACCTACGGACCTAAGGGATAAGAATCGAACGCTGAAGGCACTACGCTAACACTGTTCTATTTAAACTATATAATATCAACATATTACTTATAGGTATCTTTTTTATTTACTATTTAGTATTCACCGTATAAACTATTAACGAGAAAATACTGTTCAAATAACTAATAGCAAAAGCTGATTATTATTTCAATGTCCATTGAAGCGAAAATATGAAGTTTCAACGGCTGAAAAATTTTAAGAAGACGTCGGGACACTGTCTTTAAGAAGGCATCTTAATTATTTAGTAACTTTTCAAGCGAAAATGCTTTTGACTTGCCCATGGTGGCGTTAAAAAAAGAAGAAAATGTTAAAATAATAATTAATCCTTGTTCTGTCGAAGCGTGGATCTCTTTGTCGGGCGCTGCTTTTACCGGCACTTTGCGAGTCTTTCCACGATATTAAATAGTTCTTGCTGCTTCGTTGCGTTTTTATGATGTTGCATTAATGTAAAAAGAATTTGCTTTAAAGCTACGTTTAATTGCTTTAAATCATCAAAGACTACTGAATTTTTAAAACATTATTTTATTGTATGCTTTCGATATATATTGGAGTTTATAAGAAAGCGTCTTTATGTTTACAAGGCCCTATTTATATATATTAACTAGTGGACCCCACAGACGTTGTCCTGCATGATATTTAAAGCGATAAGGATATTGAGCAAAGTATGAAAGTACCGACTGCAGTGCCATCTGCCGGGCTGATTTGTGAATCTAAACCATTCCCAGATCCCCTTGAACACACACAAAAAATTTCATCAAAATCGGTCCAGTCGTTTGAGAGAAGTTCAGTGACATACACACTCACAGAAGAATTATATATATAAAGATATGAAACTTAATAGGTTTCTTATAAAACAATAACACGGATTCATAATACTAGTTTGGATAACGGAATAAACTGAAAACAATGTCCCTCGTTGAGTAATTATAATTCCGTTATTCAGATTTTGGGTTAAAGTACTATATGGGTGGGATGGGATTAAATCGCATTACTAGAAACTTTCAATAGTTTTCAAATAAGTATGGCGGAGATTTAACGGGTAGTTAGGATAACACCTATGCTTTATTATGACTTTGTGATTTAGTTCAAAACCCTTTGGTCAGTTAAATCTGTAGGCTCAACTGACTTTATTAATATAAGGTTTCACCATGAATAACCAAAAGGAAATTATCTCACGAATGATATAACTTATATTTACGAAAACGGAGGATCTTGATATTTACTCTGGCAGGAGTTACCGAGTGTCCATGGGCGGCGGTATGCATGCATGCAATGCCAGAGGGGTCGCAAGTGCGTTGCCGGCCTTTTAAGAATTGGTACGTTCTTTTTTTGACCCTAGGACCCTAAGTCGAATTGGTTAGGAAATACTTGCAAGCAGCTGGTTCCACATAGTGGTGGTGCGTGGCAAAAATTGCCTTAAAAACGCTCACTTGTGGAACGACGGAGGTAATGATGTCTTACGACAAATACTCGACGATGTGTGTCATCTGTCAATATTATTTAACTTAAAATGCTCAGCTCAACGTTAAATTGAATATAAAGGAAATCAGGGTTACCGATACCCAAACAATAGCGGATTAGAGGGTATCTAAACAGAACATATCGCTAATCTCCAAAGAACTTGTACAGTAAATTGCATCTTAGCTCGCTACATTGTTCATTAGCGCATAACATAAAATAGCAATTAGGTTCCCTCGCTGCAAAGCTTACTCGATCTAAGCTCTCTTGAAAAGATTTCAGTCTTTAACAAAAGGGTACACCGATGTCAAGGAGCGATGTATAAGTTAGAATTAAAACTTAACGGGAGTTTCGAGACGTTGATGTGCGAAACTGAAAACTTAATCTTACGTTACGTAATGGGTGGATGAAGCAAGGGAGACTGACACATATAATGACATATATGACAATGATCGTGCATCTATGAACCTAGTCTAAGCTAACGAAAGTTTGTATAATTCTTTATAGTATAAGATCCCGCTATACAACGACCTTCACCGAGATGCTTATTTAATGAAACTTATTTTATATTTAATTTAATATGTCAATAAATATAATCCATATGGGTTGCCTAGCAAATTTCAGTCCAGAGTATGTTTAATTAATATAAAAAAAAATTTTTTTTTTTTATAATTTGCATGTAGTAAATTTTTTGAACTTTTTTCAATCAATATTTTTAATCAGGGTAGTATTATATATGTATCACTATAACCTTCTTTTATACTAAAGATGTATATATACTTTAGTGTCACATAAAAAATATACACATAAATAATTAATTGATTAAAAACAACCTAACGTTTGCATATTCTATGGGCTTCATACGTTCGATTGGTATAGAATTTATCTAATAATCATACCGGTGAAATGTTTAAAAAAATATTTTTTTTTTAAATTAATTAAACATACTCTGGACTGAAATTTGCTAGGCAACCCATATGGATTATATGTATTGACATATTAAATTATATATAAAATAAGTTTCATTAAATAAGCATCTCGGTGAAGGTCGTTGTATAGCGGGATCTTAGACCATTAGTAATAATGTGAGGGACAGATCGTAGTGCTACGTGAACGTAGCGCTTTGCTACGAAAATCTGGATTTACTTTGTATACTGTAAAAAATACTTATAGATTCGTTTAATATGTTACATAATTGAAATGTTACCTATACATTTTAAACGTTTCAATCCTATGAACATACTTGATGTTTTGTCTTAAACTGGAATTAGCAATAGGGCAAAGCAGCTGTTTAACATGGAGTCAGAGTTACATAAAGTCTCGCCCCTTTTATGCAATACAAGTTCAAGTTCAATTCAATATAAATTTGACGAAATGTTTTTAAGTTTATAACAACCATACCAATTTTTTATGCAAAAGTTTTTACAAAGCACTTGTTTCTAGAACAAATATTATAAGAACATAAGTAACATAATGGATATATTTTCGTTTTGCGGAACAGACACTTTTATACACAATAATTATTACTCTTTATTGTCACTTAACATGCGATTAACGATACAATACATACCGCATCATGTATGCTATAATTACGGATAGGGATTCAATAGGATTTGCGTGTTCAGGTATCATTCGTGAGCGATGATCTATTTAGATCGGATAAATCGCGTGACGGATGCTGAAGCCTACAAACTGGCTAACCACATTCGTGACTGCATACCCCGTTTTAAGCCAGCTAATGTCCTGTCTTAATGTCGGTTATACAGGCTGTGTGGCAACAGAACAGTCCATATCGATGTTTTTAAGCTTTATTTGAATTATACTTTCTATGCGATTCTCAATCCTGAGTAGTTTGGGTAAAGGTACAGGAGAAAAAATATAAACGAAACACTCTCACCACGTTACACATATATTAATTAACACAAAGTCTAGTCTAGTTTAAATTATTTTGTCTGGCACGTCAGAAACATACTTAATTTTTCTTTTATGTTTTTTTCTTATTCAATTTTCTATTGAACAGAATAGTTTTCAATTAGTTTCACAAATCATAAATCAGCTTAGCATTGACTGTTATGTGGGGGTTCACCGGGCCGTTATATGGTAACATTAATTCAAATTGTGTGTTTCTAGTGAGTGTGCGAAAAAGCAAGAGTTCTTGGAATTCTCAGCGAAATAGTACGTGCGTAAAAGTTGGCGTTATTCTCAAGTTAAGCAGGCGTTTAATTAAGTTCAAAAAAATCCTTTGAGAATATATTTCTTTCAAGAGACCTTTGAAACTAGTGTAGGATGTGCTTCCACTTGAAGACCAAGTTATACTGGTCAGCGTGTACATATCAGACGTCAAATACAGATGGTAACAAACAAAGAAAATATATTAAAGATAATAAATATATGATTTTTAAATGAAAGCTTCAGTATAAAAACGGGTATACCAGCATGGCTTATGATAACCTGTTAATTAAAACAAACAGTGAGTGAAACTGATCATATTAGACATTCGGACTAAGCTCGGTCAGGTTAGTCCAGCCATTGTTGTGTGAGCATTAGTTCGTCTGGCGAAACTTTTGGGTCTGTAAAGGGATTACCTGACGGCTTTGGTCATAGGCGTCCACTACTCATTTGATTAAGATTAACCTGTCTTCAATAATGAAAAATATACTCACTATTTCTATAAGAATTTTTATACTAGTTTTTTAAGTGAAACTTCTTTAGGCGCATGAGGGTAAAAATTTTAAAAAACGTTACAATTTTTATGGGTGATTTCGCAAGCAACATTTTCGTGATTTTGACCTTAAATGGCCTGTATGTAATTTATATCAAAATCGTAATGCATTCTTTCACATAAAGATTTTATAATCTGCAATAAACATGATTTACGTATGTTGCATGACATGACATGTCTCCAACACAATTGACATCTAATATGTTCTCAGAGCGAGTTCACAGTACGTAGTGGTATTGTGTATCCTATGTATATAATAATAATTTATTTAATTTTGACATTATCACATTGGCGACTAGTACTGCAAGGATAGTGTATGTATTTTAATAAATAAATAAATGTTTCTTGATCATGTCTTTATTGATACATGTATTAATTTGACGAATACCTAAATGATCCTAATCCTTGGGATTGATTTGCTCCAGTTCAAACAATTTGTATGATTCAAAACTAAACGATTAAAAAGAGTGGCGGAAAGTTTCTTGCCAGTTCTTCTTGCCCGCTCTACGCCCTTGACTTGCGAACTCATAGTAAATGTACATTTACAATTAATTCGACTTCTTTTTTGACGTTCATAAGTGTTCTTGTTTACCTATATATGAATAAAGATATTTTGAGTTTCAGTTTGAGTATAGGCCAATAGGTGACCAATATGTACCTAAAAGTCAAAAGCAAATTGTAACAAACCTAAGAAATTTCAATTGAAAATATTCTCAAGACTATGCCTTTAAACTCTGATCTATAACGATGTCGAATCAGAGCCTAGATAGAAAATTAGTACTTTAATATTATTAATTTAATAACGCCGATAATCTTATGTCCAAGCTAAGCTGTCTTATAATCACATATCATCACTAATTAACTTAACTATTAAGCTTGATTTAGTTAAATAAAACCTTAATTATGTAATGCTTATTATCACATTTATCTAATATTTATTTTTGAAGTTTCTTTAGGCGCGTTATGAAAAATTGATGAAAGTGAAATTTTACGATGTGACACAAAATTAACAGAATGAAGTTGCCCACGGAAGATCCTCCGGCATTGGACCTAATTAAAAAACAACATTCGAATAATAATAGAATTGATTTTACACTTAATGTAAGAGAATAATAATAAATATTTATTTATTTAATTTTTCAAATGTAAACTGAACTTTATTGACTATAATGACTCCTTTCCCAGTCTTTGATTATTTAATTGTAATTAATTATTTGCATGCAATCAAAAATTATTTTTAATAATGCCAAAGAAGTATAACTTCTTACGCGCGTACATAAGTACACGCACCCTTTTTTTTAATAATATAAACGGAATATGTTACCAAGTTCGCGACAGCAGATGGCGTTAATACATAAAAATGGCTTATAAGTTATAATCGTAATATCAGATAATTATTATCTGTCTGTACGGTATAAAATTTGCGTATAAATTCATTAAAGAAGTTTTATGTAATACTATATTTATTTGTTATGACCGTCAACCCCTTCCGTGGTTAAGTGGTTATGTGTATGTTCATCTCGGAGGTGGGTTTATTTCCTAACGAAACTTCACATACAAAAGATATCGCTTCATTCATAATTTGTTATAAAAGTTTAAGGTTTTATGTTTTCTTGTTTTGTTTCTACAGGTATGTGATATGGTTCTTGGTTAAATTTGTCATCTATTGCATTATTAAGTACTTTAAAATATACGTAAATATCGGTGCGATAGTCCCGATTCTCCGTAAAATTGTGTAAAATTCTCTCAACAAATCTATCGTAATATATTTAAATTACCAGTCACGAGTTATGTGTAAGAAAGAGAAACTTGTGATATCCGATTTAATATAAAAACGGTACAATGTAAATAAATAAATCAAATAAGTTTTTCCTCTAACTCACTGAATTTTCTTTAGAATAATGTAACTCTAAAAACCTCCACACCCATTTAATAGATAAAATGTAATAGAAGTTCAATGTATAAACATTTATAATCAGCATGAAATAACGCAATTTCTTATCAAAACGAAGTTTAAAGGTTAGCTTTAGGCGTAGAAAATAAAAATAATCTTGATGCTTTATTAACCCGTTAAAACCGTTCGGCGTTGACCCCTGATTAAGTTATGTAATTATTTTTAATCTCAAGAGGGCACATGAACTTGATAAGGCGATTTAAGTGCACGATTACATCATTCGATTTATATACGTAAACTATTTCAAAAACGAAACGTCGCAATACCTATATGTACTGAAAAAAACATGCGACCTTTTAAGGTCTGGGCCTCAGATTTGTGCTTCATTTGTTTTTTCTTTTAACACGCTAGTAGGTGATCAAACTTCAGTGCCTGACACAATACCGTCGACTTTTTGGGTCTATGGAATGTCGGTTTCCCCACAATGTTTTTCGTCATCGTACGAACAAGTATTAAATGCGCACATAGAAATTCCTTTACTGCACAGCCGGGAATGGAACCTACGTTCTCATGGATATCATTTACACACTGAAGCCACGAGCACTGCTCGTCACAGTATAGATCAGTCGGATCACGATTCATGTAAATCGATTAATCTATGTGAAAACTGTGGCGGGATAAACTCTAAAAATAGTTTTGTAGTGACGTTTTACAATACATAAATAGAACACATTAATACTTATAAAGACGTAAATTTTGTGAGGTTATAGGTGGTAATCTCTGGATATAGTAAATCTATTTAAAATAGAAAAAAAACAATAGCTACATTACATGTGAGTGTAAGGCGATCAGTGTAGAATATCTACCAACCCGAAAAATTTAACGCTTTTTCGTAGCAGAAGTTTTTTAAGAAAGTCACAGAATTATTATCATTCTTAATCAAGTCAAATAAGTGTAATAGTAATTCCCCTTATTATGCCAAATTTTAAGCGTATTATCTGTAATCTATCGACGAATTAAGATTATATATGTTAATCAGTCATAAATCCGTAAGTTTATCTGTGACGTTTATATGTACTTAATGATATTTTTGTTCAAATAACGAAAAAAAATGTTAATTGTAAATCTCTGTCGTGTTGTAAATATTTAAAGGGTATCAATAAATATTTTTTTATCATATTTTATGTACAGGACATAGAATATGTTAGTCGTAAACGTATAAGCAATAAGTTTACATAGCCAGTGCTCAGAATCTATGTAACAGTGTTTTTGTACGACGCGATCCCAAGATTTCGAAATAGCTACGGAAGGAAGTACATATATCGAAATGTAATACAATCACGAAGGGCTAACTATTATATTTAAGCAAATATTAATGTAGAAAAAATGAATTGAATATATTCGATATTCTTCAGTCGCGCTCTTCATTTTTGAAGGTCATGTTAGTGGCATCGCAGAACTTCCCCCACTTTCCCCTGTCTTTGGCAAGCATATACACAAAATATAAACAAATATATTTCTGATAAGCGTACCCTATGGTCGATCTTATTACCGACACATTAAGGCAAACATTTGCATACTTAAAATCGAATTTGCCACCGTTTAAAAGGACGAAATTTTCCACG